TCAGTAAAACGACGGCTTAACGATTTCGTTTTGTCTGATTTTTTGTGAATTAATTTCCTTAAATCTTATACTCTTATTCTTAATATCTTCTTCCGCGTCCCGCTCTGCTAGGATATCGATTGTAACGATTGTTTTAAGCCAAAATAATATTCAAATCGGTGCTACAGTTCCGAAGGTTAGCGCGTTCATACAAACAAGCTCTTCAGCTTAATATGCTTCACTTCGCTTCAATCGCTTCAAGCTTCCTTGTGCGTACTGCTAAAGAGTGGAATACTTTGCTAGAATCTGTATTTCCTGAAGGGTATAACCTGGGAGTCTTCAAGGCCTGAGTGAATAGGTTGCTTATGGGACGTGCTTCATCGTAGACCGCATCATCGCTTACCACAAGGCGAGATAGTGATCGCCTCAAGAATATACAAAAAAAACTTTATTATTATTAAAGCTGAAGAGAATGGGAGAAACAAATAAATAAATTAGCGTGAATGAGTCGTATATGCTTTGTCACTAAAGTTCCAGGAAACATAAGGTTCAAGTATCTGTAAAACTGAGGCACTGTTTCCCAAGCCTTGGCCAAGTTTTGGTTAGCCCAATAGAAAAGCTGAACCATATAAATTTTGCATGATTGTGTCAAAACACTACCAGAAACATACACGTCAGTGCAGCAGTGATGTAATACGCTATCAAATTATTTTAATATACCCTCGGTATACTAAAACAAAGATATAAGAAACTGAAAAACAAGTCACTTGACAACGAAATGCCCTTAACAAAGGTTACTAGGACCAACCTAGGTTAATTGAAGGACAATACACCTAGGTATTGTCAAACACCCTTTCTTTAACCTTTCAAAGTTTTTAAATTGCAAATACCTGTCTTTGCTTACAAACACACATACATAGATAGAACCTAGCTATTTAGGTCACATTTACTACTAGCACAGTACCTATACTACTAGGTATTAGTTTATTTTTTTACATAAGTTCTTTTAAATCTTTTTTATATTGTAGTCAGCAAATCACGTAAAGTTGTGTCTAAAGGTGTCATTTATTCGAAGATAGGGATAGGGGGCATATGACAAAAAGTAAACGTTCATGCGTTTACTTATGACAATTGATCAGCGCCACCTATGGACACCCGTAACACCAGAAGAGTTACAAATGCGTTGGTAATATGTTACGCGGGAAACAATAGTTTGTAATATTTATATAATAACTATCGTGAGACATACTAAATTAACTTAAAATCGCGGATTACTCACGTGAATATACTGAGAAAACTACTTATATAATAGTTTGTAAGTTTTTTTTTAGTCTTTATTTTTATAAGTAGGTATGGCTTTTTTGCTAAAGTTTTTAGGTTGTAATCCGTTTTATAAAGACTTGATTAAATATGGGTGATTTTTCGGATAAGAACTTCGAAGTAAATATCAGTATTTACTCAGTACTAATCTATTTTGATCATTAAATTCATAAATATTTAATGCTTGTTGACGGTTAAGCTCGTTGGCCGAGTCGCAAGTGCGACTGCCGGGCAATGAGTCTCGGGTTCGGGTTTCGGGTATTAGTGGGATTTTTTTTAATTCTCCGTAGCAGCACGGAGTCTGGAATTGGTATACAGCAATAGGCTCATTGTACATTGTACAGTGCCATAATGTGCACCTCTGCCTACGCCTTCGGAAATAAAAGGCGTGATGTTATGTTATGTTAATATTTGTTTAATAAATACTCGAGTAAAACCGGATAAATACTCAATAGGTACTTATTCGGTATTTATCCCCATTAAACTAAAATCGCCCATTTATAGTCTAGATCGACTGAAAAAATGTATGTGGTATGAGTCTAGTAATGTCATTATGATTTAACTAAAGAAACTAAGCTAGAACCTTTCGATTATAGATGCGTACCTAAATACTCATTAAATTATTAGTAATTGTACCGTAATAGACAGGGTATGAAAATAAAAAATCGAATTAGTCCGTCAGTTAGATAATGAAAAAATATTAGACACGTATTTTTTTTATTTTGTTGTATAATAAAATGATACTTAGTTATAACGAATCAAAGTTTAGGAGTGGGGGCTAAAATGTTATTTCTACGTATAAAATGTTCATACAAGTGACGTCACGCGACATTTCAAATCAATATAACGTCGAAAGTATTCGTTTCTGTACAAAAATAAAAAATATGTGTGTAATGTTTTAAAAAAATCTATCAGACGGACATTAAAATAAAAATTAGTCATCTACCCTATTGTGTGTTTCAAGGCCGGTCAAGTAAAACTCTTGTAAACACGTCGCCGTATTCACTAATCGAATTTTCTAGATAAAAAAGGTACTCCGACACGTTTGGGTAAACAAGATAAATTTAAAAGTTCACAGCATGTTTTAACTTTTAAACGACACACATTATGTATTAAAAACAAATGTTTTAATATTTTAAAATGTATAAGAAAACTGTTTTGATCCAATTCCAGCTGTCTGGCCATTAAAGAGAAAAGTTTAATACATGAGTAACTTTATTTATTTTGTTTTGTGCCATTTCAACTTTATTTAAAAGAACCTAGACTTTTACATACGTCATAACATCACGCCTTTTACCCCCGAAGGGGTAGGCAGAGGTGTACATTACGGCACTTAATGCCATTGTACAATGTAACACCCACTTTTCACTATTTAAGTTATGAGTCCCATGTGAGAGAGGGTGAGCCTATTGCCATATACCGGGCACAAATCCAGACTCCGTGCTACTACTGTTTCTACTCCGTCAACCTAAATGTAGGTAAATTACATTTAGATAGACTTTATTTAAATAGTGAAAAGTGGGTGTTACATTGTACAGTGGCATTAAGTGTCGTAATGTGCGCCTCTGCCTATCCCTTCGGGGATAAAAGGCGTGATGTTATGTTTATGTTTAAAAGACCTAGGTACTTTTTTTAATATGATTTTAGGTTCTTAGGTATATTCTATGAGAAAATAGATAGGCAAGTTTCTGGATTTAGTTTTGTGCTAGGAGTAGGACCACTTTCTGGCGCATCACGTTTTCGCAATAAATATCAAAATATAGTACCTATCTATAGGTATATTTGTCGCGAACCTAACGGGTTACCGAGGCTTCGGCACGACGTGCAGGAGAAGGAACGTGGTGGTTTTTAGTCAGTAAGAGTCTGACACTCCCTCCCGCCTCACCCAGACGGGAGCAGTCATTCGATGATTTTCCCCCCTTAAAAAAAATCTATAGGTATATTTACGTATCTGATTATCCATCGAGCTATGACCTAACAAACAGTTTAGTCCTCATTAATGTTTTTTTAAGTTAATTGTTGAAAATAAGTGCTCCCCTAGAGCTGAAATGTCCGTCCCTTTTGGAAATCGTGTTGGTGCTGAATATAATCCACACCAGGAAGGAGTCCCATGATCTCATTGCACATGGATCTCCTCTAGACGGTCTTTTCCACAAAAGAACGCAATTAAAAATGTAAGTAGGTAGGTACACTGTACATCTCGATGACAGACTGCATTCAAAATGCTTTCATCAATATTAAAACCACAAACAGATGTCCAATTTTTAAGAAAATTCTGTAAACATTATTCAAATAATCGTAAAATTGAATGGGATTCTGTGGTAAATGTTGGTAGGTACTTAGGCACTTAATTGAAATTTAAAATTTATAAATTATTCAAAGTTTACTACGCAGTAACGGATTTCCACAAAGATACGCGTAGCCGTGCAGCTGCTAGCATGACGTCAAGTTTTGAGGACTTCTGACCTATCACCCGCCCATTCATTGATCTACAAACTAATCGAATAATAACCCTTGAGCAATGCCTCTTATCAAAATGCGTAGAAAACAATTACTTTAATACTGATGATAATAAAATTGGCCCTTCTCCTCCCTCCCTCAAACTAAAGAGTAGCTCCCATAATACGTATTGTACACTTTTGTAAAGATAAACATACATTACAACAGACGACAGATAAGTGACCGTATAGTATAGTAAATAATATTGTAATTAATGGTTTCTCCACATTGACGCTTAATTAGAATCAATGTCTCTGTAACATTGGTTAACTACGCAATTGATAAGTGCAAATTAGTTAGGTACCTATCTATCTATCTTTAGTCGTCATAATAGAATGGCCTACGCAGACCGGGACGCCGTACAAGGGATTTGCCGTCAGTCAGCGTACAGTAGCCACTTAGATTCCGTGGCATTCACGCGGTACGCCAAAGCACGACTCCACTGCAACATTTAGCAACAAACGCTGGAGTTCTTCGCATGCCGTTGCCTACTGCAATATGCCATACCACAGCATGCCGCTGCGAGAGGTTTCATTCAATGCCCTTTCGATGACACGGTATCATTTACAAAGCCAGAAGCCCAGGAGCCTCCCTAAACCGCAAGAAGAGCATTGTTTCTTTGATGGTGTAAAAGTCGATCTCCTATGCGAAAGCAAGTCAGGTCAAGTCAGTCAATCAGTCAGGCCCTGCTGTTAAAAAATTATATGTGAAGATTAAATCGTCCAACCACATTAAGTCAAGTTCGCTATGTATTAACATACATATAGGTATTTTAACTTTAAGTGTTTCATATATCTGTAATGAATACAGGTAAATACTTCACTCTGGATAAATTCTTGGTTGCAAATATTAACTGCAGCTTTTAATATTCTGATTACAAGAACTGATTTAAAAAAATATGAACTATTTAATTAAGAATTACCTTCCAGTTTAGTAAAAAAGCATGAAGTCAAAGTCTAACTATTCATAAACTAAACTTCTGTAGTCCTCTCTATGGTATTCAGTTAGTGTCATTGTCGATTTGTGGATTGTCAATGTCACAGTAATCATCATTCTGTGAGCTGCTCGTCGAGATCGTCGAGTCAAAACAAAAAATTGTTGGTTTATGATATTATTGCAGTTATTTGCTTTATTTTATAATATAGTATATTTAATAAAACGTATAGACGTAATAAGTGTGAAAACCAACCTGTATAATAAAAATGTCGTTGGAAACGGTACCAAAAGATCTTCGTGGATTGAGAGCATGTTTGGTATGCTCATTGATCAAGGTATTTATTGTATTCTGTTTCTCTCCATTCTGTACCTATATATGTATGGATATTTCAACCCCAATCAAAATTCTTATGTTTTATTTTCTACTCTTCATTGTGATACTTGATGTCAACAACACCCATATTCCATATGACTAGTATGTATGCCACATACTTAAATAATTCGGTGGAATAAATTTGTGGTATTTTTTCGTAGTGATCATCATTACTGATTGTATAATTTAATGAATTTATATGACGTACGCACACTAGTCAGTGTGCATACTCCAAGAGTAACAATCAAAATACAGTGAAACCTGGTTAAGTGAGACATCAAGGGACCTACAATGTCGTTTCACTTATAGAGGTATTCCACTTACCCAGTGTCTCAGATATACAGGTATAAATAAATATATGTCTCATTTACAGAGGGTTCTATTAATAGAGGTGGACTTGGAATTAAGTGTGGAATTTGTGGGTAGAATAAGAATGAGTAAACAAACAATGTTATCTCAGTTACAGAGGTTTATGCATATAAAATTTACTCGCTGTCTCAGTTATAGAGGTAACTATGATGGTAAATCGAAAGAACAAATCCCAGATATAGAGGTTTACCTCGTCCCACTAACAGAGGTAATTCAGTGCCAAAGTGTTGGGACCTCAGCATGAGTTCCAGTTATGGAGGTTTCTCATTTATCCAGTTCCCACTTAACCAAGTTTCACTGTATTACTAATATTAGTCAATATTAATCAATATTACTAATATGTTATTTTGTGGTATTTTCATGGTATTTTGTGATGTTGGTGTACAGATATGATTAAAATATGTTACATCTGTAATAATAGCATTTAAACCCTTTACCTGTAATAACAACATTTCAACTATTATAATGTCCTAATAATTGTTATTGATATTATTCCAGACTTTTGATCAGTTTGAATATGATGGGTGCGACAACTGTGATGAATTTCTACGACTGAAGAATAATAAGGACAATGTTTATGACTGCACTAGTAACAATTTTGATGGGTAAGGCATTTCCTATCTTAACATAACAAGTATAGGGTTAACAATTTGTTGCTTCAAAAGAACCAGAATTCTTATCAGACTCTTCTCTTTTTTTTAAATGTTGTTTCATGTTAGGATTTTCTTCTAACAGACTATTATAATAAACCTGAAATTCACTTCATGTATGAGTTTACAGGGATGTTAGATCCTTAGTAATAATTATAATCTCATAATGACTATAATTATAGAAGTGCTATTTTACTACAAATAATAGGCCATAGCCTATTATCAGAAATATGATATTTCACTGATTAAAATATAATTATGTATTTGTTAATATTGTTGTCTATTCATCATTACATGTTACTAATTTCAGGATGATAGCTGTTATGAGCCCGGAAGATAGTTGGGTCTGCAAATGGCAGCGCATAAGTAAGTTTTGCAAGAACTTGAAATTCTTTATTTATATCCTTTATTCTGTCTCCTGTTATAATAAAAATGTAGTCCTTTTACATTACTCTGTGTGAAATCTAGATATGGCTTTTGGTTCTTACTTTTTTTTATGGCATAAGCCGGTAATCTAGCAGACGGATCACCTGATGGTAAGCAATCGGCTTCGCTCATGGACACCCAGAACACCAGAGGTGTTACAAATGCGAACACCGGCCTTTTGGGGATTAGGAGTTTGAGGATCGTTGGGGATTCAGGGATTGGGAAGATTGGGGGAGGGGAGGGTAAACTTAAACAGAACTGATTTTAGAGTAAAATGCTAAATGTTTAAAGTTATAATTATTTGATGTAATATTGTTTATTATATAAATAGATTCTGTTTTTTACCAAGTTTTTTTGTATTATTGCATGTTAATATAAGTTTTTGTCTATGTAATAATTAATTACAATAATATTATTTATTATTTTTAGACCGATTTTGTAAAGGAGTATACGCAATATCAGTATCAGGAAGACTACCAGCTGGTGTTATAAGAGACATGAAGAGTCGTGGCTACGTTTACAGACCAAGAGATACAAGCCAGAGATAAACAACAACTTAGCATAGTATTTCATTAAAAGTAATTTAATAATCTCATGGTTTTGTCTCATTTTCTTATATTGTCCCCATAATGCATGGAAAATAAAATAAAAATATAATTTTGTTCAAAAATTTTAATTCTCCTAAATATCTAAACATAACAACCTAAATAAAAACAGCCATTATCTACATCTTTGAACAAATGAAATTCTAGGCATTAATATGCCTGATGCCCACACCTCACAATAAAAAGCTCTTGAGTAACAAAATAACATTAACATCAATTCAGCAGGTGCTAACAATAAAGCCAGAGTTTATTTACAATAGACTGAACAATTAACTGACAACATTTACTTATTAGTATTATTTTCTGGTTTGTAATCCACTGGTATATGTTGTTTATCCCAAAAGTGCATTTTGTGGCATGTTGCAAGTTGCAATGCGCACATCAAGTAGTTCTGTCAACTGCTGTCCGATGGTGGTGCTTTGTACTCGCTCTCTGTACCAAGTACATCCTTATCAATTTCTTTGAATTCTATATTCTGCTGTTTCATTGCATTCTGAAAGAAATTGTAAATGGTTAGAAACAATCATTAAAAAGTATGTAAAGTATGCAACCTATGTCATTATTAGGTAGTCTAATCAGTTGAAATGATTAATCAAACTTCAATCTGGTTAGTTAAACTTAACTCATTGAGTACCATAATTATAGACACAATTAAAGAACAATAGGTTGCGGTCACCAGTGACCGCTTGGTGTTTGACAGTTTAAATTGCTTTAATTAACTGCAAGATCATGCTGACTCAATGACATTATAGGTTATTCATTCTTGTATATTGATGAAGCGAAGTTTGGTCATATTGCATCAGATTTAAAATTAAATTTTTAGCACATCAATGAATGCCTATAACAACAAGTAGTTAAAACAAATCCTTAACGAAGCACTAAGTAATAATTTTAATCAGTGAGTATTCTTAGGGGCGGCTATCACGCCCTTTAACCAAATATCAGATAACAGATCAGTGTGGGTGGTGATTATTCCTAATAAAAATTTACTTATTATAATAAACATTACTTACAAGGAACTAATTAATGGAAACCTACCTTTACGCAGTCTTGGTAAACTTTAAATATACCAGCACAAACGGAATCGTCATGGTCACCTTTTAAAAACCTTTCAGAAAACCAACTATTAAAGCAATCGTCATATTTTTTCTTCAGTTCAGTACATTCTTCCCCAATACTATTCATGATGTAGTTGTGCAATATGTAAGGATTATTTTTAATTCAATAATTTCTAAAATACTACAATTGTATAAAATTTTCTACTGCAATCAATGCTATTGCTGCTGAGTGCTGTCACACCTGTCAAACAGTCAAAGTCAAATTGAAGTTGACGCTGTTGACTAGTGTTGTGTTAATGTACTATTTTTTTTAAATTGGAAATGGATTGCAACTACATTGTATACAGGTATACAATGTTGAGTCGACATTAATGACTTGTAACTTGACGTATTCCTCTCAGGAGGTGATAATTTTTTTAATTTTCTAATGTTTTGTACTAATTTACATTCTATTTCAAAACGAATGATATTTCTGAAAGTAATAGTATTAATAAATGTGTATTGACTATACATTAAAACTAAAGTCACTTAAATCGAACCAGTAGTTTTTTAATACTGCCTCGTTGGCCGAGTGATCGCAATTGCGACTGCCGGGCAAGGGGTCTCGGGTTCGATTCCCGGGTCGGGCAAAGTATTACTGGGTTTTTTAAAAATTCTCAGTAGTAGCACGGAGTCTGGAACTGTGCCCGGTATATGGCAATAGGCTCACCCCCTATTACATGGGACTCATAACATAAATAGTGAAAAGTGGGTGTTACATTGTACAGTGGTATAATGTGCACCTCTGCCTACCCCTTCGAGGATAAAAACGTGATGATATGTTATGTTATGTGTAGTTTTTTTAATTTATTGATGGTTTTGTAGTTCCAGCGGGATTTTTTCAACAAAACCGAAAATATTGAATATCTCAGAAACTAGCCACTTTCGGACTAGGGACCTCAAAGCTATTTTTGTAGGAAATTAGTTGTATTATCACCTCCCGAGACGAATACGTCGAGTTGCAAGTCACCCTGCATACTTTTTTTAATATTATTTGATGGGCCGACGTTTGACCATTATATCGCCTGGTGGTTAGCAATGATAAAAAAATATTTTACTGCAACTGCATTTATCAAATAAAGTAATAATTTTTACATAATTATTATTATGTAATGTTACTTCCATGTAATTTTAAAAATTATTAGTAATCATTCGATTGTGCGCAAGCTTATAGCGCAAACTACAACACTATCATATCAGCATATATGAATACTGTACGCATATGTAAGAACAATGCAAAGACATGCTTGACGAATTATACTAATAACTAACAAAAATTACAATATGGTAACGTGGTAACGTAACAAGCAATGTCAAATAAATTAAATTAATTATTTTTCAATATTTCACATTTCAAATCAATCAATATAATTGATTTAGCTTTATTGTAACTTGTGGTTGTGGTGTAAAATAAATAAATAAAAATTGTACTCTGAATCGGGGTTCCCGAGGATCTTCTCTTCAGATCTGTCGAGAGATGTCACCAGCCTAAATAGGCAGGTTCCATATCAAGATAACTGTACGCCACTACGACGCCACTACGACTATATCTTTGGAGACTAATATATACAAATCAAGAAGAAAGTCATCCCAGTGGTCACCGCAGCGCAGCGCGGTGGCGCGTCGACGGCGGCGCGGCGGCGCCGCGTCGCCTCACGCGGCTCGGCAGCGCCCGCAGCGCCCTATGCAGTACTGGCCACGGGATTGCTTTATTGTTTTTTATTATAATGTAAAGTTTTGACGGATTTTGACGGCTGAGTGACGGCTTGTATATAGTAAAATAGTGGTTTTATATTTTTATTAAGTGTATTTTATAGTTATATTGTGTTAGTTTTAAGATTATTTTTGTATGCCTGGATGCAGCAGCTACGCCGGACAGAGTGCCAGTCAACCTGCCGCACCCCTGGATGGGACTCTGGTAAGATGCCCACATTGCTCTCAAGCACGTTTTTTTAAGGGTGAACGGGGTCTGAGGGTTCATTTGGGCAAGGTACATAAACCCAAAAATGTAGCTCCTTGCCTAGTGACAGCCTCAGCTCCTTCACCAACCCCTGTCCAGCAACTACAACTTTGGCAAACCTTATCAAAATTTAAAAACACAACTCCAGTTTTAAAGAGAGTTCCTCGAGGTGCAAGAGCATCCGTAGCTTCAAGTTTAGCACGCTGCATTGGTCTTGTGGTTCGAGAGAACTCTCTAAGTGCTTGGGAGCAATTATTAACCTTTCCATTTAGGATTCTACATGTGCAGAAAGATTTGGCCAACAAAAAACTTTAACAACCCAAATTAAAGATAATTGCTTTTCTCAAACCCAAACTTTCGACCCTAAATTATCAGTACACTTTACTCACAAAGGTTTGCTGCATCATGTAGAGTCCAAAATAGCGGATGGCGATATCCGTGGTGCTGCTAGGGTTCTATTTAGTAGTGATGTGGTCGCTACGTACTCTGCAGAGGTAGTTACAACCCTGCAGAGTAAACATCCTTCCCCGGCAGATGACCTCATCTTTCCTGACCCACCAAACCCTCAACTCCATTCACTTTCGATTACTGCCCAACAGGTTCGCGAGGCCGTTGACTCCTTTCGAAATGGTTCAGCTGGCGGCCTCGACGGCTTGACACCACAACATCTGAAAGATCTCGTGTGTTCGAGCGCCGGGGAGGCTGGTGAGTCCCTTTTGAAGGAGCTGACGGCCTTAATCAATCTAATGCTCTCCGGCAATGTGAACGAATCCGTCATCGATGTCTTATACGGGGCTAACTTATGTGCCCTGCGTAAGAGGGATGGCGGTATTCGTCCCATTGCTGTAGGTTGTACATACAGGCGTATCGCAGCCAAAATTTGCTGCGCCTATTACAATGAGTCTTTGGCCAGCAAATTCCAGCCCTCACAACTAGGCTTTGGTTGCAAAGGGGGCTGCGAGGCTGCGGTACATGCCCTATCCACATTTTTAAATAGTAACCAAGGTGAGGTCGTCTTAAAGGTTGACATTAAAAACGCCTTTAACTCCGTAAGCAGGGACGCCTTGTTGACTGAAATTCTAAAAGAAATCCCCAAAATTTACAGTTTTCTTTGGCAATGTTATAGAAACCCTTCAAAATTACTGTATAAGGACAATTTAATAGAATCGGCTGTTGGTTGTCAACAAGGAGACCCCCTTGGGCCTGCCATTTTTAGTTTAGCTATAAATCCTATTATTCGTGAACTAAATTCCAAATTTAATGTATGGTATTTAGACGACGGAACTCTAGGAGGTGACGTTGACATTGTTTTAAAAGATTTGACTATATTAAAAGAAAAACTGAGTTCTATTGGCCTTGACCTAAATTTATCAAAATGTGAACTATACATTCCTGACTCTACAGACAGACTAACGACTCTAGCAAAATTTAATCAAATAGCTCCAAATATCAAAATTATTGATAAGTACTCACTTCACCTCCTAGGTTCACCAATATTCGATGAATGTTTTCCTAAATTCATCGAGGACAAGATACAAAATTTCAATCACATTTCGGATAGATTACACAAAATCAACACACATTCGGCTTTCACCCTAATTCGGTACTGTTGTTTTGGACCAAAATTTACTTATATTCTCCGCGCTTCACATCTATGGAAACATTCACACATTTTAGAAAACGTAGACAAAATTATCAGACACACATTGTCATCCATACTTAATGTGGCTTTGGATGACCGAGCTTGGCAACAAGCTACTCTTCCTATTCGCATGGGAGGGCTCGGCGTCCGCAAAATTTCAAGTATTAGTTTACCAGCTTTTCTGTCTTCGGTCCACAGTACCTCTGAATTAGTCAGGAAAATTCTTTCTTCGTCACTGACCAGTTTTGAGGTGCCGTGTTTGACTGATGCAGTGGAAGCGTGGAAAATGGCTTGCCCACTTACGGATTTACCTGTTCACCCATCTTCTCAGAGACAGTGGGACGTGCCGCTGTGCAGTGTTATTCGTGAGTCTTTAATCAACTCGTCTCCTAATACTGCAGAGCGAGCTCGCTTATTGGCTGTGGGAGAATGGGAATCAGGATTGTGGCTTCAGGCACTCCCGTCACCCTTCATAGGTACTATGTTGGATGACATAACGTTCCGCCTAGCTGTATGCCTACGTTTAGGTGCTCCTTGTGTTTCTCCGCATTATTGTCACTGTGGAGAAAGAGTCGATGGCTTGGGACACCATGGTCTTTCTTGTTGCAGAAGTGCAGGCCGCATAGCTCGCCATGCCAGCATCAACGACATCATTCGTCGTGCTCTTGCCTCAGCCGGTGTACCAGCCGTATTAGAACCTAATGGTTTGGTACGTGATGACGGCAAAAGACCAGATGGTATGTCGTTGCTGCCTTGGAAGATGGGTAGGCCTTTGGTGTGGGACGCGACGTGTGTAGACACCCTTGCGCCATCACATCTTTTAAGCACCGCTGCATGCGTTGGTGCAGCTGCTTCCGCGGCAGAGGCCCTCAAACGGCGTAAATATTCAAATCTAGTGGGTAACTACTGTTTTGAGCCGTTTGGGGTCGAAACACTTGGGCCATGGGGTCCCAGTGCACACTCTGTGTTTAAAGACATCGCCCGTAGGCTTATCGACTCTACACGTGACCAGAGGGCTGGCTTTTTCTTCGGACAGAAAATAAGCATTGCCATTCAACGTGGCAATGCTGCCAGTCTTTTGGGAACTTTCCCCTGTGATAGTGATGCGGACGAATACTTTGACGCCTAAATTAAGGGTATAATTTTTGTTGTTTTCTTTTACTTTCTTTTTATTTAATAGTTTAGTTGTATTGAGGTTATGTTGATAAAAAGTGGACAAAACTAGATAATTACATTAAAATACAAAAATTAAAATTAAAACACTAAAACACAATCATATCAGCTGACTGATGATTATAAGACAGACTGACAAATGTGACAGATGACAGTGCTGCACAAAAATGTGACAAATGGTAGATGGAAGCATGGTGGTATTTATTGTGATGTGTATTGTACAGTGTTAAGGTTGTAAAACTTGGTGAACTCTTTAATTTAATTAACCATGAGTGATATATTGAAAGATAGCCGGTTTACAAAGTACCTAAATGATCCAAAATATCGTCAGATTCCTAAACATGAGAGAAAGGTTAAAATAGACAAACGGTTCCAGTCTATGTTTAAGGATGAAAAATTTAAAGTAAAGTACTCAGTGGACAAACGTGGCCGGCCCATAAATGAAACTTCAACTGAAAATTTGAGGAAATACTACGAGGTAGATGAGTCTGAAGGAAGCAGTGACACTGAGGATGAACATGAAGAGTCACCTGCAAATGATAACGTAGATAAATCTGAAGCCGAATCTGTTCCAGGCCGTTTCGTTAAAAGACCTCCATCTCCTAATGACGATGAAAACGATGAGGAAGAAACAGTATTTCTCAATGATAAATTGGTTCGTGGAAAATTGGAGAAGAAAGTAAAAAATAGGTTACTGGATTTAGATATTGACTATGCCCGTGGAGAAGGTTTGTTAAATGTCACTTTATAAATATGTTCATAATATTATTGTTACTGAAAACAAATTCTAAGAACCTTTAGCAGGGTTGACAGTAGACACACAAGAAGAAGGTTGTCTGGAATAAATCACCGCCTGTGATAAGACCGCCCATTGTACTCAAATTACTATTACAGTGTATAAATTCTCTGTGTGCAATAAAGTATTATTAAACAACAACTAAATATAAACTAAATATAGTAACTAAACAATAAAGTATTAATAAATAAATAAACAACAAAAATAGTACAATCTTTTCTCTTCATTGTTATCTTACAGGAGTTATACAAACTGACAGCTCCTCTGATGAAGAGAGTAGTGAGGCTGAAGAGGAGAGTGACTTGGAACATGAGTGGGGAGAGCTAGATGCTGATGCTGGAACAACTGAGGAATCAACGAAAAGGTACAGAAAAATCATCATTTTCAAAGGGCAGCTGCATAACATGCAATCACTTGAATATATATGTGAAACTCGTTGTTATATGTATTTTAAAGAATTCATCATCATCATCACTACTTTTATCCCCGAAGGTGTAGGCAGGTGCACATTACAGAACTTAATGCCACTGTACTATGTATGTAACACCCACTTTTCACTATTAATGTTGAGTCCCTTGTAATAGGGGGTGAGCCTATTGCCATATACCGGACACAATTCCAGACTCTGTGCTGCTACTGTAAATTTTTTAAAAACCAGTAATACTTTTCCCGACCCTGGGAATTAAACCAGAGACCCCTTGCCCGGCAGTCGTCGGCCAATGACGCAGGCAGTTTTAAAGAATTGAGATCTCGAAATATTAGTTTTAAGATCATTCAATTTAAATTCGACATACACATCCTGATGAGTGTTAGGGTGTATGATGAAAAGATGTATTAGAAACTACCTACTCCCGTGCAGTTTTATCTGCGCTGCTCGACCCTTATTGATTGTAGTGTGATGTTTTATAGCCTAAGCCTAGCCTAGCATAAGTGCACTATTCACCAAAAAAAAAAATTATTTAATTCACACCATTAGTTCTGGAGTAGCATGTTCAAACAAACAAACTCTTCAGTTTTATATATTTAATAGTATTACATATTACCTATATCGTTATCAGAAATGAAAAGAAAATCTGAATTCAAGTAATTATCAAACAGTATTTTATTATGGGATAAGCCGGTAAATGTGCAGACGGATCACCTGATCACCAATCAGCATCGCCCAAGGACACCTGAAACACCAGAGGCGTTACAAGTGCGTTACCGGCCTTATGGGATTCAGGGATTGGGAAAGGGTGGAAGGGGTAATTGGGCCTTCGGTAACCTCACGCACACGATGAAGCGTTGTTTCACGTCGATCTTCGGTAAGGCCGGGGTATCACTCTGGTCGAGACGGCCCAGTCGTACCGAAGCATGGCTCTCCCACACTTAAAAGCATGTTTGTGATAATGATAAGCTAATATCATACTGTCTCATGTGATTTTCTTTAACTGGTTACTTATATGTAGCATTGCCTTACTCAGAATTGCCATATGCAACATGGACTGGGACAACATTAAAGCTGTTGACCTCATGGTGTTGCTGAACTCATTTGTGCCACCAGGAGGTGTCATCAAGAAGATCACTGTAAGTAACACACAATACTTAAGAATTAGTGCTAAACTTGGAATAGGTTACTTTATTTGAATTATAAAACGTTTTCAGATTTATCCGTCTGAATATGGTCTAGAAAGAATGAAGGAGGAAGAAGTTCGTGGCCCAATTGAATTAACAGAGAAGAAACTTGATGATTTGTCCGATGATGGAGGCAATGAAGAAGGTTTGTCTACTTTTCTATACATGTTTTAATCAGAAAACCCAGTTTTACATTTTTAATGCCCATTTAGATTAGTTTAAAACACTAGACATATATTTTTTCTTTTCATACGGAATCAAATACTGTCGAAGATAGGTAAATTTAAAAAAAAAACCTTTTACATTACGATTTCAAACATTTTCTACAGAGCAACGGCGTAAATACCAACCCACTGTTTTATTGTTACTTATGCAATTTAGCTTTGTCATAAGAGCAAGCCTATTTTAATGTGACACTAAGAAAGTCATCATTTGAAATTTCAGGTTCATCATATCATATGGAGAAACTACGTCGTTATCAACTAAATAGACTTAAATATTTCTATGCTGTAGTAGAATGCGACTCTGTTTCGACGGCTGACAAGCTCTACAGTGAATGTGATGGCATGGAGTACGAAAGTAGCGCTACTCGCCTCGACATGAGGTTTATTCCCGATGATGTTACTTTTGATCAGGTATGTGTTTGCCAAGCATAATTTTCTGATCAATAGAATGTTTATAGATTTTTAATTTATCCTTTTCCATACAGGAACCTCGAGAGGAATGTACCAAACTCCCAGATTTAACGAAATACCGACCCCGATTGTTTACAACAACGGCATTGCAACAAGCTAAAGTTGAGCTCACTTGGGATGCTACAAACCCAAACCGAGCAGAAACTATCAAATGTGCCCTTGATGGAAAAATTGATGATTTAGACCTTAAAGATTACTTGGCATCTAGCAGTGAAAGTGAAGGTAAAATAAAACAGTAACGCTGTAATACTCAAACGCTACTCAATTTTAAGTTGAACCTTTTGAATGCACCGATATGAGACACAATAGAAAATAATACATTGTCTCACGTGGATCCACGTCTTAGACACACGAACGGTTAAATATTCACTTCATTATTGAGCGACATATAATGCGACTTTGTGACATACTCCACGCCTGAATCACTGTTTTCCAAAATACAAGCTTATCGCTTAGTTTGAAGGGCAGTGTCAGTATCGATCGTAATTCAGACTCGTTCATGTAATTGCCGCATTTCTGAATTTTGAAATTTTGTACAATAATTATATTTTTTTTTAGTTCTGTCACTACAAATTCTTTGTAAAAAGACAGAGGTAGCACGATATTTAAGTTCAACTTTAAATTGAGTGTCTTTCAGTATACGGGCGTTAGGCAATCACAATAAACAATTTTTATTTTATTGTTGCAGATGAAAATCAAATTGAAGAAGTCGAAGCGAAGTCGGATGATGAAGATCCTATAATGAAGTATAAGAAATTGCTTGAAGACATCGAGAAAAAAGACGAAAAGAAAAGCAATAAGGACATGGAAATGGAAATAAGTTGGGGAGTGGGAATCAAGGACAAGGCAGAAGAGTTAGTCAAGAAGAAGTTAAACGAAGGTATAAAATAAAATTAGTTACTTATATGTATAATTGTAAATTTACTGTAAGTGTAAATTTACTATTTGTAATGTTATCTCAAACAGGACAGACTAAACGGTCTACCATTTTGTAACAAAGTCATGGTTAGGTTTGGTATACCAAGGGACTATTTCCAGCTGACCGAGCCGTTGTTGGCCGAGTGGTCGCAAGTGCGACTGTCGAGCAAGGGGTCTCGGGTTCAATTCCCGGATCCTACAAATCATTACTGGGGCTTTCTTTTTCATTCTCAGTATTAACACGGAGTTTGGAATTGTGCCCGGTCTATGGCAATCACTCATAACATAAAAGTGGAAAGTGGTTGTTACATTCTATACTAGCATCGAGTGCCGTAATGTGCACCTCTTCATAACCCTTCGGGAATAAAAGACGTGATATTATGTTATTTTCAATGTACGTAAATTGCTGTTGGTGTAACAAGATTTTCAAGTTATCTGTCTAACAGAAAGTTAAATATTTCCTTGCCCCATTCAATATGACAAATTATAAAACACTTGTATAAATTATAACATCATAATGTAACAAGTAAGCGAAGCTCGTATTTATTTCATTTTATCATATTATTTACAGAATCGAAAGATTTGACGCCATTCGAAAAGTTAATACAGAAACGCAAAGAAAAGAAAAAATTAAAGAAACTGAAAAACAAAGACAAGAACGAAAATAGAGATGACGCATCAGACTCTGAAGGTGACAGTATGTCGGATGATGTGCCTTCTGACATTGATATGAATGATCCTTACTTTGCCGAGGAATTCAATAAACCAGAGTTCAAAAAATCTAAATCACAAAGCAAAACTAAAGAACGGAAGAACGAAAATAGTGACATTGACCCTGATGAAGAAAAGAAGAAAGCAGAATTAGAACTACTCCTGGATGACGATGATGGGAAAGCTCATTTCAGTTTGAAGAAAATTCAAGAATCAGAGAGTACCAAAAAGTCAAAAAGGAAAAAGAAACTAAAAGCTAAAATGATAGAACATAAACAGTCTCTGCCCGATTTTGAAATAAATGTAAATGACGACAGATTTTCAGCACTTTACAACTCGCATCTGTTTAACATTGATCCAAGTGATCCTAACTTTAAGAAAACCAAGAATATGGAAAAGCTGATCCAAGAGAAGTTGAAACGACGGCCAGCTGACACACCACCTGAAGCGGAGCCTCCCAAGAAGTCAAAAGAAGACATTGAACTAGGCTTACTAGTGAAAAATGTTAAAAGGAAAACAAAAGATGCTTTGAAAAAATAAAACATTTTTCTTAAATACAACATTTTATTTAATACGATCGTTTATGTAAAAAGTCGTCATGATTGTATCAAAATTGTAAAATTCAGTAATGTTGCTTAATATCATTAGTTCAATAGTTCACATAACTTAAGTCAGCTTATGTAACTATATACTAGCAGCTAATGCCCTCTTTATCTCTCGACCCAGTGCAGCGCCCAAAGGAGGTGGCACAGCATTCCCGACCTGTAAACAAAGCGTTTTATATTTAGAATAGCGAAGAACTCACAACAAAATTATAATTGTTGCTCATTTTTAACAGTAAATGTTACCTGTCGGTGTTTGTCTTGTACTGAGCCAGCGAATATGTACGTATCAGGAAAGCCCTGCGACCTGGCGCATTCACGAACTGATACGACGCGGTTCTGTTCAGGATGGAGTACTCTCCCCTGCTTTCCCATTGGTTCAGGATCTGTCACAGTAGTGCTAAAGTAGCCATCCCAACAAACACGACCTGGGCAAAGACACGAAATTATATATTTTTATTACGTCAGCGACGAATTACAAATATAGAAGTACAATGAAATGAGATTGGTGTGATTACAGATGACTGACTGCACGGTTGGTGCGGTGGCTGGGCAACCGGCTGCCGTGCAACGTGTCGCGGGTTCGATTCCCGCACGGAACAACACTTTGTGTAATCCATAAATTGTTGTTTCGGGTCTGGGTGTGTGTGTATGTGAAATTGTATGTTTGTAAACGCACCCACGATACAGGAGAAAATCCTAGTATGGGGCAATGTTTTTAAAGAAAAAAAAAAGATTTACCGTAGAGGCCCGCCCAGTTATTGTGTCGATTGCCCGTGTGCGGCAGACACCACGGTATGAGCGTGTTCTCTTGTTTGTCTGCGGGGCTGCAGGTCCCGCCCGCCGCGCACGCGCACACTCCACGGAGCGCTCCGCTTGACGATCGCCCGTTGCGCTTGTCATCGTATCTATACTGCAGCACCTGTTCAAAACAAATACATATTTTGTTTTGTTTCGTTTTAATTATAAAGTAGAAACATGATCACAGTGCCTGTAACATACCTTGCATTTAGTTCCATCTGATAAAGCCACTGATATGTTAGGTAGATCTCTCCAATCCGACCCAGGCGTAGTTGGTACTCTACATATCCTAGCTTGAATTAATGGAGCCATATTTTTGCAAATATGATCTCGTAGTTTAGCATTTTCATTTTTACTTCTGATGAGTCGTTGGAAATGGCTCTCTGGCATGGACCCATATTCTATTTCTATTTTATTAGCACCATTGCATATTCGTGGCAAGTCGCTCATAGCATCTCGAATGGTACACGTTCGTCTAGGAGCGGATTCATCCCAATTTATGTTAGTAACAAAACGTTTGCCGTCTATTGTGGTAGTTAGTGAACATGCACGTCTGCTAAACACGTGCGTTGGCTCAGGATAGAATGGAAGTTTATACCCAGGTGCTGCTGCTAAAATAATAAGTCGTCTTCTCGTCTGTGGTACACCATAGTTGCCAGCCTGGAGTATTCCAAATGTGCACTGATAACCCATATCGAGTAATGCCCTCAATGTCAGTTTTAAAACCATGCCTTTTTTGAAAGCTACAAAATTTCGCACATTTTCAAGAATAAAATATTTGGGCCTGTAATAATCACAATAAGATAGGTACGACGCTACTAGCGAGTTTTTGAAATTAGAGTACTCTCGGGAGTTAAATCTATTCATACCCGAGAAGCCCTGACACGGTGGTCCGCCGCATAAAAGTTCTACTTCGCCCTGCATTGGTAGGCGTAATCCATTAGTACTATGAGTGGCCCCTGACATCGCTTCTTTTAATAAAGCATTACAGTCTTCGTGAAAAACGATACAGTTCTTATTGTTAAGACCATAAGCATGAGCAGCAGCTTCAACATTTTCAATGGCCCATCTGCACTCTGCTACTCCGGCCTGGTGTAATCCTTCAGAAAGACCACCACATCCCGCAAATACGTCAAGAGTTCTTAAAGGTCGCACCGAGGAAGTTTCAACATTATTTTTGTTGCTTTCCACAGGCTTACTAGATTTTCCTTTACCTTTACCCTTATCTTTGCTCCGATCAGATGTGCGTCCAACAGTCGTAGCATTATGTGGGACATCTACAAACTGACCGGAAGATTTGTCAAAAGCCATTCTAAAGTAAAACCTGCATGGGTCTTTCTCAAGCCACTCCGTGAGTGAACAATGCAGAGGAATATTTTGTTCATAAAATACATGACATACTCCTACAACTGCAGAAAAAGATACATCGCGAATTTCGTCACTCCAGTAGACTACATTGAGGTCTTCGTGCTGTGGAAATCTACTAGTGGTATTTTCAGGTCTATAAAGGACATTGACTTTTAAATAAATATCTTGTGGAACAATCAAAGGTCCTTCTCCAATGGCAGTCACAGCTGCAATATAACCAATACAAAATGGTTCTCCCGTGTCTATATTTGAGCCACGTAAATTATTGTCACTCTTTCTGTAATATTCGGGATATATGTCTTCATCAACTTTATCTAATTTTGGTTTCACGTTATTTGCATTGTTATTGAAACTATTTTTTAGTTTGAATGTTCCTGGTTTAAGAAAAACACTACAACCTTTCTTGTAATCATAATCTTGCCATGTCACATGTGTCCATTCTGTTCTATTAGATTCAGTAACAACACTTGATTTTTCCAACAATTTCCCAAAAACTTTTGGTATATTCTTAGCATCCCTTTTAGTTTTTCTTTCACATGATGGACAAAATCTGTGCTGTCTCAGGGGATTAGGACATGTTGGATCTGCAGGTAAATCCTCGAATCGTGCAGTGAATCTTTCATAATATTTATTGTAAAAATATGTTTTACCATCATCCTCAAAATGCTTATCATCAATTTCCTTACCACCTAATCTAAACCAATCAGCTGGAATTTCTCCCTTTTCTACACTAGCTTTACGCAGTATTGATGAGAGTGGAGCGCCGTGGCAACATCTATCTCCTAAAAATACTTCTCTGGGGTCACTCACTTCACCCAGGACAGTGTCTGATGCTCTTATAAACACTTCTGCATGGAAATATCCAGATTGAGAATTTATTGTTTCCCTCCACATGTACACTACTCTGGCAACTAAAGCAGGAATATTTGACTGAGAAGTTTCCACCATTACAAAGTCACCATTGCAAAGTTCAGAGCCATCAATTTCAACTTTTTCGTAGTAGACTTTGGTAGTGTCTGCCTTGGTGGGTTCACCAAGCCATTTAATTTTCCTGTTATTTGACCCAGTTAACTTGACAGGCACTGCATCCTCTATCTTGTCGTGATGTTTCTTCTCAGCCATTTGTTGATAGTCGTCCTCATCATCTGGTTCAGAATCTTCAGCCTGCTCTACTGCCATGTTAGGACAAAATCTTCGCACACAAGCTTTTTTAGTGCGTCCATGTCCACCGAACTTAGCCATTGCCCGACACGCATTACATTCGCCGCAATCAGGCAACTGGCAAGCTTCACAGACTCCACATCTCTTTCTTCTTAAAACTAACTCATGATTTGTTTTATCTAATTGGTTAGTGAAAAAGCTTTCAAAAGTTTTCCGTACAAGAGGTGTGGTAGTAGCTTTAGTCCAAGCTTTTTTGTCAATCTTTTTGTAATCGATTTTAGTGCGAAATTTACGCTTGCCGAATTTTATGCCCATCAGTTTAATTAACTCCCTCATACACGGAAGAGTTATAAGTGGTGGTTCATCATCTTCGTCTGCTTCTAAGCTGACTACTTGGTCGCACACAAACTGTGCATGCTTGTGAAGCATTTCCTCAGTAATTCTCATGTCGTTCAAATCTGGGATAGTACACTCTCTGATCAGTTCTAGTAAATCCTCATATGTAGGTTGAAGATAATGATACTCCTCCAAATACTCTATGACTATTTTGCTGAGCCATATCTTTTCATAGAGGTTGTTCATAAGAGGTGTGTATTGTTCACTTGGTTTCAATAAATTATATTCTCCAAATTCTGTTGATAATGTGATACAGTTTTTCTCACCACCGTCAAAGCCATGTATGAACCTGTAGCAAATGAAATATCACTCATAACATTATGTTTAAACTGTACCACAAAAATTGCTAATTTCATTCTTTTTTACACAAAATAGATGAAAAAAAGATGTCATAAAATAATTCTGTACTCATGTTACTCACCATTCAATAATAGGACCTACATCTTTCACAGGGACCGATTCATCATCAATTTCCGGAGAATCTGTGCAAATTGACTTCAAGTATCCTGACATATAAATACACACATCGTTTTCAACAAGACCACCATCAATTGGCACCAGGTGGCCTTGCTCGTCAAATATACAGAAACTGGTTATATTGGTTTGTGGTCTTTCCATTATATCACCCTCTTCACCTGAAAATATGTCAATGTTTAATTAACTAAAAGTGTGTGAGTTGGTGTGAATGATGAAGCAGGCTAAAATATCTCTTAGGTTTAACATATTTGTCAAGTTTATTAATTACTAGCGGCCCGTCCCGGCTTCGCACGGGGGGACTTAAGATTTTTTACATAGTTTTACGTTTTATTTATATTTATTCTCAGTTTTTTTTTAGCGACCTGCCCTCCGTTGTCGATGTCGCGTCTTAAGGTAACCGATTGAACAATTCAAAAGTTATCTAGAGCAAACTTTTATAAGGATTTAACCATTCATTAAAACGATTGTTATGGGTAAACTATAAAAGGTAGACATATGCTCTCGTGGACTTTTTTAAAAATAATGTTAAGATAAACAATAATTTATCTATAGAACATTTTTGTATAACTTTAACTATATGCTCAGCGCACGCCACGGAAGGCCACAGAAACGATACTTTTCCCCCGTTTTTAAAACATTTTTGGTTACTGCTCCACAACTATAGGACCTAGCATGATATTATATAGCCTATGTTACTTCTGAATAATGCAGCTTTCGAATGGTGAAAAAATTATTGCAATCGGTTCAGTAGTTTTTGAGTTTATTCATTACAAACATACAAAAATACAAATCTTTCCTCTTTATAATATTAGTATAGATATAGATATAGACTACCGACCCGCCCCGGCTTCGCACGGTGCAATATGCATGTATTACACATATAAATAATAGTTTTAAAGATGTAAGCATACATAGGGACAACAAGACGGCGGCTTTGTTTTATACTATGTAGTGATTTATTTTCACTCTAAAATGATTTCATTTCGAATATATAAGTATTCATTGCACACCCATTCCTTAAGAATATCTTATAGACATAGATTAGGATGTCTAAGTTCAATTAATGTAAATATCAATACTTTATTTAAGTATTTTAAGTAAATATTCATATAATAAGGTGAATCACATTACTAACCTGATGCTAAAACAAGTTTCTCATTAGTCAATGCTATATACTCTTCCACTGAATTCTGTGGGTGTCCTTGATAGAAAATTATATCTGAATTATTAAGAAATTGGCCACAAGTGTCACATTTCTCATTGTCAAGAACAATTGGTTTGGTTTTCGCTATAACATTATTGTTTTCATTTTCATCCATTTCAATATCTAGTTGGTGTTTAGTTTCTATATATTCATCCATTTCAATATCTAGTTGGTGTTTACTTCCTATATTTTCATCCATTTTTAGTTCTCCTTCAATTTCATCACTGGAATTTGTATGGTCTCCTTTCTTTAAGTCGTTATTGTTATTGTTGTTATTATTGTTATTCATTGGTTCATACATTCTATTCAAATCAGAGGTTTCACTAGCAGAGTCGGTTTCTATAGAGGAGATACGAATATAATCTTCATCAGTAATACTATCCGTACTGCTCTCTTTAGAATCATCATATTTTCGTTTTTTCTAAAAAAAATAAAAATAGAATAGTATGTTAGCTATCTACCTAGCTTATACACACAAGTAGATGATTTATAGTTAAGTATAAACTTATAAATATAATAATTATAATTATTTATAACGAAATGGAATTTGATACAAGAGAATAAAACGCAATTTGGATTGTACAACTTGATATGTCAATCTGATCTTGGATTCTATTCTCAGGATAAAACAAAATTATTTATGGAAACTTATTTTCAAATTGGACAACTGGGCTAGCTTGAAATAAGTCCGTGGTCCAGTTTATAAAAGTAATGGAGCATAGCACATATATTTTTCACATAGTATAGATATTTAAACAAATATAATATGGAGATACTATAGCTGTTAATTGCAGCATCACATGCATAATTAAAGAAAGGAGTTGCGTAAACTACTCTGCAAACTCCTTGTATAGTAAAGAATAGAAGTTGCCCAGACTATTCTCTAGCCTCCTAACTATTTATGGATAAAAAAATAGTATCAAAAAATGCTCTACAGCAATGTGAGAAAAACAGTATTTCGCATTTATAATAATAATAATAAAGAAGTAAGAATGATGAAATCAATGATGCAGATGCTTCCATATTATCTTTTAGATTAAAATTAAAGCAAGTGGTATTTAAAACTCACTGGTTTACACATTCCAGATCCTTCTGGACTTTGTGTCCTTTTGGTGGCAAACATTGAAGTAATTTTTAACTGATTCCCACTACTACGAGGTGATCTTCTTGATGTCCTGAAAATTTTAAAAATCCATCAATATCTCATTTTACTACTATTTTTTAGTTTGTTACGTGCTTAACTCATCGAGTACCGTATATATAGACACAATTAAAGAACAATAGGTTGCAGTCACCGGTGACCGCTTGGTGTTTGACAGTTTAATATGGTATTGAGTTGTGTATGTGTATAATTATAAGGTCTAAGTTTTCTGAGCCCCAGTTTGAGAGAAATTACTCAATTTAAAAATATCTTATAATAAAAATGAAGATAATTGAATAAGGTACTCCAAAGTAGTGGAGTTTGCAATATGTATGAGACATTATGTATTAACAATGGTGTTTAGATACAAGCAGGAGTGTAAAACTTTGTTCAGGTAGGTACATTAAAACAGTCGAGTTACATATTGTGTATGATTTAAGTATTATCAATTAAATATATGAATTAACTGTTACTTGCATACCTTCATTTTTTAACATTTTACATCGCATCATTAGGTACATATAATATCTAGTACATGTTTTTATAATAGGTACCTAAATATATGTAGTAATTTGCCTGAACTTTTATGATTTAGGCAATTAAAATCAATTCAAAACTGATTTTCAATGGTACTTACGACGGTGAGGGAGATTTACTTTTACCGGCAGATGAATCCTGAGCATCCTTTTGCAAATTCAGTACACTTCGATTTGACACCGGCATATTGAATGTTACACTTCTAATTATGCCACAAAAGCTAATAGTTCATGTTAGAGATATGAGAACGAAGTATAAATCGACAAAATCCAACTCAAACCTCAAATAACAATGAATAATAAGATTTAATAATAAAAAAGGCGCCAAATCTTATTACTAAATACCAATGTCACACGACACCGTCGTCTGTCACAATCACAAATGTCCCAATCTGACATGACAGCCATCATAAGCGCCCTGCATAGAGTATAGTAAATAAGTATGCGCCCTATAAACGATCAGTATTATAATGTATAGTCTATGCGTCCATGCGAACACCACTCACCGTCTAACCGAAATCTGTCAGACTGTCAAGTCAAACACGAACTGACGAATAGAAAATGACAGATAAATTCACATCAAAACATCTGGCAATAAAATCTAAATACAGGGGTTTTATTTAATTCTTGACTAAAATACGTGCTTCTGAGAGCGTAATAAAAATAAACTAATCAAATTAGATATATTCTCTGGCAAAATGATATTTTACCCTTTATTTCGGCACCTTACCACTTTGAAATCAAAGTTTATTAGGTTAAGTTCGACTGCATTTGTGCCGGATATTGATACAAATTATTATTGTAATACTGAAAATGCTATGGAAATAGGTAACAATATAAAATTAAGAAAGGGAGTAGGGGATATTAAACTTGTTATGGAAATGTATAAAGTACTAAAAACTACTCCAATCACCGATGCATCCTATGAAACTGTACGAGACAAATTGTACAAAGAATTAAGTTGCTTGCCAAATAAGACACATCCTTCAGTCTTGAAAAATCTTGAACCAAATGTTGTACGAGAAATAAACCAAAAAAGAGATTTCCAAGAACACACTCCACTGGAATTTAGTGAAATAACAAGGCGGCTTAACTTAGTGAGGACTGACAAGTTAGGGAACACATGTGGACACAAGAGCTATTATTTTCTTGGAGAACTTGCTGAGCTAGAGGAGGCTTTAATTAAATATACTGTAAACAAGCTTCTTCAGGAAAACTTCAAACTGGTTTCAGTGCCAGATATTCTACCTAGTCACGTCCTGAAGAGCTGTGGAATGACAGTAAACAATGATAGAACACAGGTAGATATTTACTATTTAAAATATTTTTCTGTCTGTATAACCTAATGAAAATTTATGAGATACATTCTTGTGCCAACCTATTATTGAACTTTGTTTAGAGATGATTTAGTTTTCAATTGAATACTTAATGTGTATGCTGTTTCATATACTTCATCTATTTGGTGTTGCATTGTCAAAATATTTTTATTTTCCTGTTTCAAGATATATTCTTTAGATCCAGTCCACCATGGGCCAGATTTATATTTATCAGGTACGGCCGAAATGTCTTTAGCAGGACTGTTGATGAATACAAAGCACTCTGAAAAGGATTTACCTATGAAACTGGCCGCAGTGAGCAGATGTTTTAGGGCTGAAACTTCTAATGTTATAGAAGAAAGAGGAATTTACAGGTATATGTAAAGACATTTTCTTTTCAAGTTATAAAAAAGAAATATAACCAGTGTAGTTATTAGTTTGTTTGATATATTTTGTTTAGCTCTTATTGATTGGAGAGTGATGTTTTATAGCTTATTACCTTCCTCAATAAATCAACTATCAAACACAAAAATAATTATTCAATTCAAAACAGTAGTTCCAGAGATTAGCACGTTCAAACAGACAAACAAACTCATCAGCTTTAAAATACATATAAGAAGTATAAGATGTGTATGTAACTAATGATATGAAATCATATCAATGTAATTTCTCATTCCCTTACCAGTCATTTAAACAAGTGTTTTATTTGTCAATTATTCACAGAGTACATCAATTCACCAAAGTAGAAATGTTTGCAGTCACCACTCCAAGTCAGTCAGAAAGTATGCTTGAGTACTTGAGAACAATACAAGAGGAATTGTTTTCTCCTTTAGGATTCAGTATGAAAGTCCTCGACATGCCTCCACATGAGTTAGGTGCTCCTGCTTATAGGTATGTATAATAATTATAAATATGTTTAAGTGTGGGAGAGCCATGCTTCGGCACTAATGGGCCGGCTCGACCCGAGTGATCCACAGCCTCACGGAAGACCGATATTAAACAACCCTTGCATCGTATATTGTCGTGTGGGTGAGGTTACCGGAGGCTCAATTACCCCTCCCCCCCTTACGCACGCAAAACGCACTTGTAAGGCCTCTGGTGTTCCAGGTGACCAAGGGCAACACCGATTGCTTACCATCAGGTGATCCACATGATCATTTACCAAATCCATAAAAAATTTTTGATATTGTATTTGTAAACACACCCATGCATAACACGGGAGAAAATCCTAGTCCAGGGCAACTTTTTTTAAATAATCAAATATGTGGAGGATTGAAATATTTGTGTCATAAAACTTTAAGTCGCCAGTATAAAAGAAACGATAGAAAACATTGTGTCTTGCATCTACATTCTGGCCCATCTAGGCTTTAAATAATTCTCTTAATATTTACGTTACAGAAAATATGACATAGAAGCATGGATGCCAGGCCGAAAAAATTATGGCGAAATATCTAGTTGCAGTAACTGTACTGATTATCAGGCAAGAAGGTTGCACATCAAATTTATTCACAATGGTGTAGATGACTATGCACATACACTGAATGGTACTGCTTGTGCAGTGCCAAGGATGCTGATAGCTTTACTAGAAACCCATCAAGATCCTAAAGGAAAAATCTACATACCTGAAGTATTACAGCCCTACATGAATGGAAGAAAGTACATAGTTAAAAACAATAGTGTACCTGAACTAAAGCTTATGAAAATAAAAAGATAAATTACATATTTCAATCATTTATTTCTGTCGAAACAACTTTAAAAAGTTATTGGAAATTGGTAAAGTTCAACTTTAAAAATAACATAATTCAAATAACAAATACAAAACCAGTAATTTTATTTTACTTTCATTTGTGAGACAGATTTGTTCTAAATATTTGGGATGCAGGTCCCGATAGTAGGGAGTAGTTATTGGAATCAATCTATTCCATTCTGAAGGTGAAAATATTCATCTGTAGCACAAACCAATAGAACTGAATACATATTAAACTCAATCCTTTTTTACTTTAGCTCCTTTTTGTGTTGTTTAGACAGTTTTTTCATTTTGGATTTAAACTGATTAATATCAATAGTAGTTTCAGGAGTATCACTATTCGTATTTGTTTTCTCTTCAGGAGGGATGAAATCTTTCTGTCGTTGTTCTTGTTTAGCTCTCTTAGCTTGCGCTTGCTTTTCTTCTTTTTGATGTCTATTCTTGGCCTTCTTCTGTTCATCTTTAAGGAAGTATTCTCCAGTAGCAAGTTCACGATCAATTTTACTTTCCTGTTGTGGTGGCGGGAATGGAGTGTATGGTTTCTTTTCAACTTTCTTTTTAGGCTGTTTTCTTGGCACATTTTTACTTTTAAATGTTGGTAAAAACCTATCCCAACTCTCATTCTTTAATCGAGGATCCTTCATTAGTTCTCTTTTGATCATTAAACTTTTAATATTGTACATTGGATGAATGTTTTTCATTGTGTCCTCAACAATTCTCCTGACTTGCACTAGACCTTTATATGGCCCTACAGCTGAAACTGTATTTCCTTGCACTAGCACATAACACTCTGTTAAAAGTTCTATAGATTTCAAGGTTACTCCATTCGGCCCAATCAAACGCTGCCTCCTTTTCAAAAATGTTTCCTTTTTACGAACAAATGAATTGATTTTTATGATATCACATCCTATTTCATCTTCTAAGACTCGCACAGCTTGTTCAAACGGAACGCTTCGAGACAGCAGTTTCATCAAATCTCTTGCTTTGATGATGATGTATGGATCCCATGTTTTCCTTGTTGTTTTCACAGTTATACTGCCTTCGATGAGGTCTAGCTCAGCAACAATATGATGTTCTTTTAATACCTTTTGCACAAGAGGCCAACATTCTTTTAAGTACTGCTCTCTGTACTTTGGAAATAAAGTAGCAAATTTACTTTCCTCTAAAAGACCATGTGGGTTATCTTCAGGTGTAAATTTCGGTATTTTCATAGCCCACGCATTATCTACGGGGCCCATCTCCTGATTGTTATCTTCTGTATCCATATTTTCCATTTTAGCAGGTTTCTAAAGCCTGCATAAATAAAAATAACCATAAAATATTTCACTAATCGGAGCGTTCACTCACGCGGACGCGGATACAAATTATCAAATGACATTGACAGACGAACGAATGAGAATGCCACTGACACATCAATGACAGTAAGCCATAAGCAGAAGCAATGTTTATTTTGTAGACCGAGATCGGTTTCTACTATATTACACGGTTTTTTTCATTGTACGACAAGTTCGACTCTACAGGTGTTTGACGCATGGCCCAAGGACCGACACAATTTTTTCCTTTTACACCCCAAAAGGTTTATAAAAATAGTTAAATTAAGTTAAGTTTAGTTGGTCACTTAAATGATTATTTTTGTTAAAATGAAAATATTTCCCAAAATGTTTCCTATAACTCGAAATCGCTCGACATAACAATTTTTATTGTGCTTCTAGCATTGATGTTATGGCTTCTAGTGTGATAATTTATGAAACAAATTTTGTTGTATTTTCCAGTCTATTAAATTTAAATACCTACAAAATCTTACAAGCTTCCAATGTTTAGTTTTTTATTCACAAGTCTGTTTATTCACTTCAATTAATTAAAAAACATCTAAAGTCATTTTGAACTCAGTTGTACTTTAAAATGTTCCTTAGCTGATACCCTTTCTAGAAGTATGCTACAAGACCCAGAAATTATTCATTACCTATCATTATGTTGTAAAAATACGGGTTACTACTTTGCCGTTCCCTCATTCTTACCCACAACAACATAACAGTAGAACTAGTTACATAAGAATTTCAAAAATCAACTAAAAAAGTAATGGTAAGATTCAAGAATTACGTTAGTTTTAATATTTTATGTATTTTCTATTTTATTATGACAACACTGACAATCCGTCGGACTTTCCCTTCGCAGATTTCCCTTTGACCTTCCCGACGATTATATCGCCCTAACTTGATATTATTTTCGTCATTTCCGTCATGTCAATGTTCGATGTGTTCAATAAAACAGCACTTGCACAAATTAATTTTATTTCTCACATTTTGTATATTTTAAACAAATTGATGAAACGGAAACGGATTCAGACAACTCATTGGTTTACAAGACTGTAATGAAGTCTCGGGTTCAATCCCCGCTAAAAATTGGGTATAAATAGGTATCGGAATAATTTTCATTGAAAATAACTATTGAGGTTGGACTTTCGGTGGTATTTCACCTAAGGCTCAGAGAGATCGTTACGATGAATATCATCAATTTGGTTTTGAATATTTTGTGCTTCTGGTGTTTCTCTAGTCACTTTCACTTGGTCGGTCTCATGACGTCTCCTCTTTGCCAATTCAATACCATGTTTCCGTCTCACGTGTTTGTTACGATTGGCGAGGTTCGCAAAGTCTCTAAAACAAATATTACATGAATGTGGTTTCGCGCCACTATGCTGTAGCATATGGTTTTTCCGATTTGAATTATTACGAAACTTTTTATCGCATACAGTGCAGGCATACGGAAATTGATCAGTGTGGATGATAAGGTGGTTTCGAATTTGACTTTTCGCTCGAAATCGTTTTCCGCAGATATCACAAGCAAATGGCTTGATTCCAGTGTGGAGTTCCATATGATATCTTAGACCATGCCGACTTTTTAAATGCAATTTACAAATCTCACACTGAAATGTATCCCGATTTTTATGTATAGCGACATGATTATTAAAAACCGATTTGCTTTTAAAACTTTTGCCGCATACATCACACATATTGTTGCTTCCCTCCGTATGTTGAGTTATAAAATGATGTTTGTAGCTTGAGTAACTATTAAAATGTTTGTGGCATATTCTACATGTGGAATTATCTGTTCTCAAATTGTTATACTTTTTTGAGTCAAACAGCTTTTTGTAATATTTTTCTGTATGTTCTTTTAATTGTTCTTTAGTGGGAAAGCTATTGTGGCATCCAAGGCACATGTTGCGGTACTTGTGAATTCTAGCTTTGTGTTTTCCTGTGTCGGCCACATTTGGAAATATCCTGTAACACTTGTAGCAAGAGTAGTGCAAATATTTATGATGTTTCCGAACATGTTTCAAGAAAAATTTAAGATTTGAACTCCGAGTGGTACAATCAGCACATTTATAAGAGTTACAGCTATTATGGAACTCCATGGAGTGTTTCTGAAGGTTCTCCATAGTTGTGAATTGAGTTTCACAATGAGAGCATTGCCAGAGGTAATCCTGCCAGGTCTTTGTAATGTACTGTTCAGGGACATAGCCTAAGTTTTCAATTAATTCATTCACATCATTTTCTGAATAGGTTTCGGTGTTTGCAACACTGTTTAATTCAGTAGATTTCCTTGGTGATATTTTTGTTTTAATTTTTTTACTTTTTTTTCCTTGGTTGGTACTATGTTTTTCTTCAATCATTTCACTGCAATGACTATCAAATTTTTCAATTTTTACAACTTGGCATATAACATGATCATCATAATTTGTAGTATCTTTATCTTCATGTAAAGTAGTAGTTGTGTTTGTATTATTAGCAATATTATCTAGAATGTCAAACATTGGTTTATTTGGCTCAATATGTGCAGGTTCAGTAACAGCGGGATCAATTTTTAAATATGTGTTTATCATAACAGAATCAAATCTCTTATCCTCATAAAAATTACAGTCATCACTACTATTGTTTTCACATTTAACTTGGTCATTTGTAAAACTATCTTCAACACCTATTTCCATAGGATCCTGCACACTATCTAAAGGTTTGGGAACATAGTTACTAGAGCCAACTAGTTCACAAGAGACAACATTATCGCCTAAATCTCTTTCAGTACATTGTACCATCACAAAATCGCTTAGAAAAGCTTGTGCCTCATCGACTGCACAGATAAACTTGAATGCTTGTTCTAAAGACTTAATGCAGAGGAGGCACACGGTTTTAGGTAGTACGTTATCCTGGAAATCTATTGTTATATGGAACCTTGACAATTTATTCATAACTTTTTGACATAACTCCTTGTCGATCTGCAAGTTTACTAGTTTGTCGCGTAATTTCAATTCAGCGCAGAGGCGACAGTAACTAGTTGTTGGGTTCATTGTAGGGACATAAAAAGATGGAGATTTATGTAAACACAGTTCAAATCTGTTTGTTTTCTTTTGTTCATCGGCAGGTCATTAATTCGACCTGCATTATATCAAACAGTGAATATAAATTTGTTTGTGACTATTAAATCCTGATTACGTTATGTTTAATATTAATCTTTTATTTCATTGCTTTAGTCAAAAACAAAATATAAAACTACGTTGAATTGAACAAACAACAAAATAAATCTCGTAACTATTTTCTTGGTTCTGACTTCTGTCAAGTCAGTGCAATCATGCAATGCAAAGTGTGGGAAAGTCAGTGTCAATGTCAAATATCTGCTGTCAAATTATGGTTTGTTTTGTTTTAATCTAATAATAAATGAAGATTTATAGTTCACTACGCACAAAGCAAATAGTTTAATAAATATAGGATTTAAGAAATATTTATATCTACATAATAATCGATTTCGTAAATAAAAATATTATACACATTGTGAACAAGATTAGTAGATAGAATATTATGAAGTCTGGCAACATTCTCATTCAAATGGACGATTAGTAGGGGTTTAACCGTATCGTACCGTTACGTGACGACTAGAAAATGCGTCGTAAGCTAGTGATGTGACAAACAATGGCTCGTCTTTTATCGCAATTATTAATTTTAATTTGAGAATGGTATTGATTTCAATTTAGCGCTACAAAATTGTAAAAGATCATTTTTAGCATGTCGATACAATACACCACAACAAATAAGTTGTATTTTTTAGGGTATATGAGCTGATGGTAAGCAATTAGCGCCGCCTAAGGACATGCCCAAAACCACAGAAGTTACAAGTGCGTTGTTGGCCTTTTGGGGTTAGGAATTTTGGGATTGGGGAGATCGGAAAGGGAAAGACATAGACCTCCAGTAACCTCACTCACATGGTGAAACACAACGTAAGCATTACTTTACGCCGGTTTTCTCTGAGGCCGTGGTATCACTCCGATCAAGGCGTAGCCAAAGACAGTAGTGATATTACGTAGGGAGTTTGGTAAATACTTCGAGTAAATGATACTCTGGTAGTACTGGTATCTGCTTACGTACATATATATATGAAATAAGTCTTTAGCTTAAGATACCCATCACACTGACGATACAAACGCGAAAGTAGATTTTACTATTTTTCAACTTGGTATGTGAACTATTTTTTTTATACTTTTTTAATGTTTAATATATTTATATGAAATACTTAATATGATAGCTTGTATTGTAAAGTAATATTCTGTTCATCTAAGAAATCATCTACCGAGTGAAAACTTGCTGAAGTTCTTATGATGAACTAGCTGTTGCCCGCGACTTCGTCCGCGTAGATTAATGACTACTGCCAGAATTAATCAGAATCAATTCAGTGCCCAAATAAGATTTACCTATTTTGAAATGATTTATCGTAGTTTCAATAAATAAATAATCCCGCAGGGATCTTACCAGTATAGTACCCGATCACGTAAGGTTTGAGTAATAAAAACTATTCTATCGACTATTGTTGATATGTTCTGTGGTTGTACCGAATCTCTCTAAAATAAGTTCAGTGGTTAAGAGTTAGAGAGTCCTAGGGCATTAACGCATAGTTCCCGTTCCCGTGGGACATCTATATATATAAATCTATATCTATATATTCAAAGGTGATTGACTGACTGACTGACATAGTGATCTATCAACGCACAGCCCGAACCGCTGGACAGATTGGGTTTAAATTTGGCATACAGATAGATGTTATGACGTAGGCATCCGCTAAGAAAGGATTTTGATAATTTCCACCCCCGAGGGGGTAAAAAAGGGGATGAAAGTTTGTATGAAACTTTGTCAGTTTTTAACTGATCGGGTTGAAATTTGGCATGCAGATAGATGTTATGACGTAAGCATCCGATATGAAAGTTTGTATTTTCCACCCCCAATGGGGGTAA